GGCGGGGGGCGCTCACTGAGAAGGTAAGATTCAAGATTCTTTCAAAGGGGCCCGGGAGACTCCTTTCCCAGCATTCTGATCTAAGGCAACCCATGAGGCACGGCAAGTTAGGTCTGCTCTACTTGTTAACCCAAAGTGCAGAAGAGATTGCAAACCTGGAAAGTGCCAGTGTTACAGACATCAGCCCCAAACTAGGTTTTTATTTCTATTAAGACATATCGAATCACTGGGTGGTGCATACAGTTAATGTGCTTGCCTGCTGACCAAAAGGTTAGGGGTTTGGGTTCACCTGGAGGAACCTCAAAAAAAAAAAAAAAAGGCCTGCTGATCTACTTTGAAAACACTATGGTGCACACTTCCAGTCTAACATATAAGAGGTTTCCATAAATCAGGGTGGACTTTATGGCAACTGGACCATGAACGCGGGTTTGTGGATGAGCACGTACTGAGTTGCATAAGGACAGTCCACAGAATTGTCTCTATAATTATTCTCCCTATGACATGACATGACTGATGACCAGCGACTAGGTATTTGGAACGGAAGCTGTTTAGATTGTACCAACAGTCCCTGATGTGTCCATAACCACCTAATGTTTGAATGCTATTTAACTGGATAAAACATCTAAACGAGATAATCATGGGCACACGTCCTCCCATAGCGTCACTGCGGAAAGCTTCTATTCAAATGACTGAGGAATAGGAACATATAAACATGGTATCAAGCATAACTCACCCAGGCTGTAAGTAGCTTTGTGCTTTCGTGTTGGCATGAAGGTCACTGGAAGACTTGGTTCTTGGTGCTAGATATACATGCAAATGCATGCATATGTTTGAATGTCTAGTGTCAGTGTGTGCTCGTTTAAATGTACATGTACCTGTGCTATTCTCAATTTCTGAGAACTCTGGTGGTATAGTGATTACAGGTTGTGCAGTTAACCACAAGGTCAGCAGTTCAAAACCACCAGCAGCCCCATAGGAGAAAGATGAGACTTTCTACTCACTTAAAGGTTACAGTCTCAGAAACCAACAGGGGTAGTTTTACTCTGTCTTACAGGGTCTCCAAGAGTCAGCATCAATTTGATGGCAGTGATGGTTTTCTTTTATGCGCAATTTAGCTATGAGTTCTAAATACCCGTGAGTTTGCTGTGAAAATAATTCAAATGTGAAACTACAAGTATGTTGCTGTATGTAGTGCTGTAGACCACATGAAGGTGATGGTTGCAAATGCACAGTTTTGTGCTTGCGTGTAGGTATAGTGTAGATTTGAAAATCTAGATGTGTCCATCTGTATGCATTTGGTTGCGCATATATGCCATAGTTCACAAATGCTTCTTTGTGGGCAGGAAGTAGAAATTCTGAAAAATTACCGAATATCCCAAATGGAATAGACAAAGGCCCACAACTAGCCATATCCTAGGTGATGGTGGTAGGGTTTCAATATTTACCTATTTGAGATTCTCTCCATTTCTTGGAGCCGAATTTACACTAATTCCAGGAGACCCAAAACATAACTATGGGCCATTAGTCAGAGCAGGGGCATAGAAAGGTCCAGTTAGTAATGGAGTCTTAGGTCAGGTCTACCACACAGCAGGCCCAGTGCATCCCTGAACTCGTTTCCCCAGTTCCAGAACACACAATTAGAATACATATACTCACCAACTGACAGAACCTCCACATTGGATCTTTGAAATGTGCAGTAAAGGCTATCATGGTAGAAATAGCCAGGTGAAAGCCATTAGAACTGTCCATTCCAAGTAAAACAGTGAATCAATAGAAATACCATGTACCTGGAGAGATTGCAGAGATTAGTGCCACCATCAAGGACTTGAAGAATGTAGGAGTGTGATTCTCCCACCAGCACAGTCCCACTTAATTTGTCCATTTGGATTGTGGGGGGAAAAGGGGGGGATGCATCTTGGAGAATGAGAGTAGATGACTGCAAAGTCACTAGGTGGTAGCTCCAATTGCAGCTGCTATTTCAGATGTCATTTCATTGTTTGAGCAAATGAATCTATCTCCCGGGACCTAGTATGCAGCTTATTGATCTAGCCAATGCCTTTTTCCCAACTCCAGTTTTGAAAGATTAGCAGAAGCAGTTTGCCTTCAGCTGACAAGGCCAGCAATGCACCTCCACTGTCCTGCTGAGTATCAGCCCAACAACACAATGTCATCATCATTTAGTCCACAGGGATCTTGCTTGCCTTTCCCATACACAAGTCATCACACTGCCTCACTACATTGATAGTATTATACTGATTGGATATAGTTAGAAATGTGCATAATGAGATAACTAAGGTTTATTGTGCCAACCTGGCTGATAAACACATGTGGGGTTCATTGAAGGGTGGAGAGATAAATGGCTCGATGAGCCTCCCCATTCTAGTTCTCAGGTATCTTGCTTTGTGATGGTCGGACCAGGGTGCAGCTGTCTTAGCCGGTTCCCTGCTTCAGCTGGCAACGCTCACTGCCAGCAAGACATCCCTGAGGAGAAGCCACATGGACCTACCCCGATGCAGCCTTGCGTGCTCGAGCAGCTGTGTGGAGACTTGTGGGCTTGGACAGCACTGGGTTGGGATGTTTTCTTGATGTGCACTTACCCTTTATATAAAACTCTCTCTTATACATATGAGTTTCTGTGGATTTGTTTCTCTAAAGTACCCAGACTAACACACATGACTACCCTAGACTTACCATTTGCATGCTAGAAGTCAAAAATTAACCCCCCCAAAATTCAGATACCTTCCACATAAGTGAAATTTCTAGGAACCTTGTGGTGTGTGGCATATCTAAAGTGAAAGATAAGTTACTGCGTCTAACCTCACAAAACCAAAAAGGAGGCACAATAAATACCTGGTAGGTAACATAGACTTCACTTGGCTGTGCTATTTGAGCCTCTTTATTGTGACTCAAAAAGTGGCCAATTTAAAATTTGTTCTAATTTTTCATATTTTTCTACTTTCTTTTCTTTTGGATTTTGCTGTTTTAATTTGTTATTGTTAGTTTTGTTGTTGCTGTTTCATATGTTTTCCTGTATATGAATTATAGGATACCTAAATCTATAGGCAGTAGCTGGATTAATGGTTTCTTCGGGCATGGCAGGGTAGGCCAGGGGGAAATGGAGAGCTAATAACTATGAATATAAGAAAGTAGAAAATGTTCTAAAATCGATTGTAGTGATGATTGTACAATTCTTCTTGAGATAATTGAACTATTAAATTACATGATATGTGGATTATGTGCCAATTGAACAGATTCAATAAAAACAAACAAAGAAAGAGTGGCTTGATTTGGGTGAGTCCCAGAACAAGAGAAGGTACTACAACAGATTCAGGTTGACATGTAAACCAATCTGCCACTTGGGCCATATGACCCAGCTTATCCAGTGGTGCTTAAAGTGGCAGTAGCAGATAGAGATGGTGTTTAGTGCCTTTGGCAGGCCCCTACTGATGAGTCACAGTGCTTAGTACAACCTGAACACTTAACTATGGCTCACCAAGCCATTGTGTGGCTTAGGTTGCCCCTCATAAACAGATCGTTATCTGACCCAAAGAGCCATAAAGTTGGATTCTATCATTAAATGGAAGAGGTATAGACAAGATTGAGCTTAAGCTGCATCTGAAGTCCCAAGTAAGTTGCATGAGGAAGTGGTACAAATGACCTTAGTCTCTACTCCCGTCATTACCTTCCCTCTCTCAGTCTGTTCCTCTGATCTCATTGGGGCTTCCTTATGATTTATAGATAATTCTAGATGGTATGCAGGCACCATTCAAAAGTAGACAAAGGCAGTACTAAAACTCCTTTCTGAGATCTCCCTGTAGCGCAATAATGAAGGAAAGTTCTCCCAAAGGGTGGAACTTGCTTATTCACTTTGCTTGGAAGAAGAAAGGGAGTATATACATTTCCCTGTAGAATATTACCCCCAACCCTTCAAGATAGTATCTGTTGCTGTAATCATATCTTAGAAATCCATTCAAGTGTTCTATCAATCCAGTTGCTCCAAGAGTATA